CAGCCCCTGACTTGGGGAAGTGCCCCAAGTGCTTGTACTGGGTCAAGCACCCATTGGACGATCAGGCCTGTGTTTTCCAAGGTGCGCAGAGCCAGAAGTGAGTCCAGAGCCTTGGATGGTGGCAGCGGGAACCCCAGGCTAGCGGGTGTGCTCCGGGGAAGGGGTCGGCCGGACGGGAGGCACCCTAAGGGAGGCACTCGGAGCCTGGAAGGTGGTCGGGAGCAGGGAGGTGGGCGGCTCAACGCAGGAGCGCCCCCTACTGGCCCGCCACACACATCCTATCTCTTTTCTCCTGAAAAAGGAACTTGGGAAAAGTGTAATTCCTCCTGCATTTCACAATCTGCCCAGCTGCTCACCATTGAGGGTGGAGAAGAGCTGGTGAGTGAATGTTTCCTGTAATACTATATCAATGCAAAATGTCTAGCTGAATGGACCCAGAGGAGCCAGGTCCAGGGGCTTGGCTTTCTCTAGCACGGTCTCAACTGGGGAATTTGAGAAGGTTCCTGAGAGCTGGTGGGTTGATAAGTGCAATACACACTAGAGGCCTCCCCAGTCTTGGGATTTGAATTATGGGATTGCAGATAGCCATTCCCCACAGTACAGGGTAAGAAGGGAAGACCACAGCACTGTCAACTGAGTACACGAGCCTGGGAGCAGAGCGGGGATCAGCAGCCATGGCTTGTGTTTCAGGAAGGACTGGGCAGAGCCCACCATCTGTGTTGCACTGTGTGTAGGGTGCTTAACCCTGAATCACCCCCAGTGAGGGTGAGGGCCAAAATAGCACAAGCATCCCAATGGTCTGCACCCTCAGCCAGAATATTAAAGTGATTTTAGACTCCGAAAAAGCGTAGGGTCTTCTAAAAAAAGGTTCTGCACTGATGGGTTCCCATGTACAGCATGATAGGGATTTCTTTCACAGACAAAATTTGTGTATTTTCTTTTAGATAGTCAGTGCACAGAAAATATCCAAAGCCCCAGGGCCTGGCTCTCTATTGTCCTCCTTCTCCTCAGTTGGCCCATCTTCCATGTTAGAAGGTGGAAAGGGGTTTGACTTGCCTGAACACACTACTCAAGGGGAAAACTGTGGTCTAAGGAAGACATCAAAGGCTGCAGTGTAACCTCTGGCAAAACAAAGCCTGGGCCCTAGGGCTGTTCCCATTATGAATTCTGGGAGAATATATTTAACTGGGTTCCTGCCATCACCCTTAATTATATTCACAGATGCTAATGGAACTGTCCTGGAAAACGAAAGGTCTGGGCTGCAATGCTTAATATAGCAGGCCCAATTGCCTTTTGCGGGGGAGGTAAAGTGTAGGTGAGCAAGCAGGCTGTAACCCTGGAAGTGAGAACCCAACATTACATACAGGGGTGAGCTCTGCACCAAGGCCTGCAGGAGTAGTGTGTGTGGGGAACTGGCAGGACACAGCTAGCGCTCTCCAGGCATTCTCACTCTCCGACAGCTGAAAGAATTCACTTTGTCTCTATTTTAGGATTTCATAATGTCACAACCCAAAGGGTGTGATTTTTGTTTGTGTGCGCTTCGGCACTGCTAAATTGTTCCCGCTAAATTGCAGCTTCCTTGCACGGTGGAGTTTTCTGCTGCAAAAGAGAACCCCGGTGCGGGGAGGATTTCCCACCAATTTGAAGCTTTTTTTGCAGGGTGCATTTCTTTGTTGCAGCACAGAAATGCTCATTGCAAAGAGTTCCCGCCATTTGTATGCTAATTCAAGTCCCATTATTGGCCAGTTCTAAATTATTCACACGTGGCGGCTAGTGATTGGCTTGCTAGCCGTACAAAAGGCTTGCGCGGTTTCCGGACCCAGTGCATTTAAAGCAGGCAACAGAGGTCTGATCAACCTCTAGCCTCTCCCCATCGCCAAGCGCAGTCCAGACGTATCCCTTCCCGCGCGCAAGAGAACCGGACCTACGGAGCCTAGCAAACTTCATGTGGATGAGTGAACAGGAGAACCCACGGAGCCTAGCAAACTTCGCGTGAGCCCTTACAACCGGCCTCAGAGCTCTTCTACCCGGGTTCGAGTCCTGCAGGTTTATTTTTCCCGTCGCCGAAACCCATTGTGACGTACCCTCGTGCCCTGCAGGTTCGAGTTTTGTTTTCTTTCCTGTCTGTAACCGCAACTTAAGCAAGTTTTCAGCCTGCACCACTGCCATCTCGGTGTAAGTAAACAATCTTTTAAACTACCGATACGCGTTTGTGCCTAATTCCAGCTCGACGGCCTTCCCTCTCCAACCCGGCGTGCCCGGGCTGCTGGCCACAGCCTGCGTGCAGCACGAAAAAGGGCTCGGGTCGCTCCTGGCCCGCACACATAAAAAAAGTATTATTTCAATATTTTGAAGTTCATGACAGTATTCCCCGGTACTACGCATTCTGGATTGGACTGTCGTATGATCCTGGATCCAGGAAGTGGCTCTGGGCAGATGACTCGGATCTCTCCTCTGGCTTGTAAGTCTATATCACTAGGATGTCCTCACCTCTGCACCAGCCTGCATCATTGGCACCACTATGCAATTCACCATGGAGCTGGGGGCTAAAGACTGCACCAGACAAATGGGCTCTTGAACTTTGCTAGAGACTCACCTGGCAATAGACCCCACACCCCAGTGCAGGTCCCAAACAACCCCAACCTTTCATAAACTCCCATTTCCCAATGCTCCTACTGAGCTGTGGTCTGATCAAATCTAACTCTTGACATGTGTGAGGGGTCTTTCATTCTAATGCCCCAGAAGCATACCTAAAGTTTGAAAGCCCAGGAGAAACTGGCGTGGTGGTCTTGGGGAAGTCTGTGAGTGCAACAGGAGAGGGGAGGAACAGGGCCATGACACCTCACTTTGCTAACATCTCTCTCCATAACAAACGTCTATTCTAAGGTCCATCATCACTTTGGAAAGAGCAGCCAGTTGGGGCTGCTCAAAGATTCACAGCATTTGTTCATTACAAGGGAGCATGAGATGGTGGGAAAGGGGAGGTAGTATACTGAAGAGTCACTTGATACATGAGTTTATATGATAGGTACCGTCGGCACTCGGGTGATCTGTGATTGCATATGAAAGTATGGAGGCTTTCTCTCGCTCGTTATGGGAATGGGGACCCCTCAGGGAATAACAGTCAGCTACAGGAGGCAGACACACAAGAGCAAACACCATGTTTCATTCCAGGAGCAATTTCTGGCAAGGGGAAGATTAGGTGACAAAGGGATGCAGATGGCCAGAATGTGATCTGAGGTACACCCTATCTAGTACAATGTGCCATGAGCAAGAAGGGATCCTGTGTTTGGATAGTCTAGTCTCACCCAACCAGTCTTTTCCTTGAGCAGCAAACCATCCCTGATCTTCCTTCTGTTAGGTCATTGTTCAGCATAGCCCACTGTCAGTACAACCAGGTCCGAGAGCCCTCCAGCCCTGTGTCTTGGTGTGGTGAGTTCAGGGAGGTGGACATGAACTGTAAACTATGGACTTGTATTCCAGGTTTGATATCCAAGACCTCAGTATGAAGAATGATCAGGACAGAGTTTGTGCCTATATCCACGGTGGGAGACCTAAAGGTGGCGTCTGTGGAGAAACTCATTTCTGCATTTGTGAGAAGAGAAGTAAGGAATGGGTAGGGACACATTAACAGGAAAACCCCACCAGTTGTGTTCCCCACAGGGGACTGATCAAAGTCATAACTGCAGCAGGGAGATGAGTGAGGCAGTGTGGAAGTGCACCCTTCATGCAAGAACCTGGAATCCTCTGCTGTCGTGTTCAGAGAGAACAAGAAAATCCTAAACTGCATCATTGGGCAGGCTAGCTCGGGGTAGGGTGGGATGCCACATAGACATAGGCCAACATCATCTATTTCTGCTTCCTTGGGAATGTCATGTGTGTGCCTATTTCCCAAATAATTTCCCCATCAGCACACCTGCATGTGCTGGAGCCAACAGACATGGGGCCTTCCTACTTAAATCCCCAGATCTCACTTTCTTCATTTTGTAATTTGAGTATCCATTGGCAACCACTTGGGCAAAGAGAAAGTCCCAGGAGGCAAGGGTGTGTTCGGCCATAGGGGCATCACAGACACCTGCAAATGAGAGATGCAAAAGTGCCTGCCATCCTGCAGTGACTGCCCCTCCCCAGGCGCAGATGCACCCTGTTCTTTGCAAGGCAGAGTCTGGTATTGCCCAACTACCAGAGCCCTATGGCTGGGGTTTCCTTCATTCCCCTAGGGAGACTCCATGTCCTCTATATGTTATGGGATTTGTCCCTTGCTTCTGAAATAAACCATTGCCCATTATCCCTGTGTCTTTTTGTATGAATAATGGAGGTGGAGAGGTCAGAAACAGGGGCACTCCCCTTGGCAACTCTGCTAGGTCCAGTATCATACCAGGATGTGAGTGGCCGGGACTGGAGGTGACCTCAGGGTCAGGAGAAGCTGGGAAGTCAGAAGCCAGGAGATCTGTTTGGAGGACCAAGTGGAGGATCCAGAGGGTCAGGCAGAGAGCGATGTCAGGCCTGCCAGCTCAGGTACCTAAGGAATCTGTTACCTAGTAGTAGCATGCACCAGGGATGCAACAGCTTAGGTACAGCCTGTCACAACCCAAAGGGTGTGATTTTTGTTCTTGTGTGCTTCGGCACTGCTAAATTGTTCCCGCTAAATTATAGCTTCCTTGCACGGTGGAGTTTTCTGCTGCAAAAGAGAACCCCGGTGCAAGGGAGAATTTCCCGCCAATTTGAAGCTTTCTTTGCAGGGTGTATTTCTTTGTTGCAGCACAGAAGTGCTGGTTGCAAAGAGTTCCTCCCATTTGTATGCTAATTCGAGTCCCATTATTGGCCAGTTCTAAATTATTCACATGTAGCGGCTAGTGATTGGCTTGCTAGCCGTATAAAAGGCTTGAGTGGTTTCCGCCCAAGTTGGACGACTCCACGAACACCAGGAGGAAGAGACTTCACGCTGTGTGAAGATCTCTAAGCGCTGCAGATCCTTATGGACCCAGTGCATTTCAAGCAGGCAACAGAGGTCTGATCAGCCTCTAGCCTCTCCCTGTCGTCGATCGCAGCCTAGACATATCCCTTCCTGCGCGCAAAAGAACCGGACCCACGGAGCCTAGCAAACTTCGTGTGAGTGCTTGCCAGACGACCGGCTTCAGAGCTCTTCTACCCGGGTTCGAGTCCTGCAGGTTTATCTTCCCGTCGCCGAAAACCCATTGCGACGTACCCTCGTGTTTTGCATCTCCCGTCACCGAAAACCCCTTGCGATGTACCCTCGTGCCCTGCAGGTTCGAGTTTTGTTTTGTTGTCTGTCTGTAATCGCAACTCAAGCAAGTTTTCCAGCCTACACCACTGCCATCTCGGTGTAAGTAAACAATCTTTTAAAACTACCGCTAAGCGTTTGTGCCTAATTCCAGCTCGACGGCCTTCCCTCTCCGACCCAGCGTGCCCGGGCTGCTGGCCACAGCCCACGTGCAGCACGGAAAAGGGCTCGGGTCGCTCCCGGCCCGCACACAGGCTTGAGCCTTGTTGCTCAGACACTTCCTCATCCAAGACGGGTTTATATGGGAAGGGTTAAGAGGAGGTCAGTTGACCTTGGCTGGGCACTCTGGTGTCAGGGACTCGGCGTGTGCCTACGCCCAGGCAGAGGTTTCTGGCCACCTGTGTCTGCTCCAATGTTCTGTTTTGGAGAATGTATATTGGGGTGAGCATCACATCGCAGAGGCTAAGGACCTGGGTCCAAGACCATGGTCTGACAGGTGGGGCAGATCCACAGCTGAAATGGATCTGTGTGGTGTGCCCAGGTTGGCAGTACCATTGGAAAGGAGTGGGGAGTTTGGTGTCAGGCATTCTCCCACTTATGCCAGCAATGCCACTGGCCTGTGTTACCCTGGCTTTCCTGTTGGGGCTGCAGAAACGTGTGTTTCTAAGCAAACAGCACTGACCATATCTCGGGCTGGGAACACCACTGCTTCCTGTGCTGTTCAGAAGCTAAATGAGGTAGAGGCAGTTCTGGCTGAGCCCTGCACCTGGAGTACAGGAGGGAGAGCCACCTTGCCCTGCAAGGGGGTTGGATCCCAGTCAGGCACTGTCCCTCCCCTCAGTGTCCAAAGTGGGGCTCAGGACCCAGGATGCTGCTGGTCATGGTACTGGTGATGCTGCTGCTGCTCTGGAGAGCTGAGTGATAAAAAAGGGGGAAAGAGAGAACATGATGAAGGGAGGGGCAACCATTTCCCAGTCTCTGCCTATCCCTGCAAGTACCAGAGCAGCCCTAACTTGGGGAATGTCCCTGAGAACATCAAGTCAAAGGCCTGGGGCCAACAGGCTCCAACATGGGTGTTTCCAGGTCCCCCATCCCCTCAGTCCTTCATGAATGCGGAACTGTGCATGTCCCGACATCCCCCCACTTACCAGGCCTCTGCCTGGGAACATCCCAGGGTCCCAGGACAACCATCCCCCAGAACGTGTGCTTTGGGGATGAGCAACACCTGTACTACTGATGCCTGTTCTGCTGGTGACCTGTTGTGTCGGGAGGTAATGAGCTGTGAGCTTAAAGCTCATTGGGCTTCACTGAACATCCTGTGTAAAGGCATCTGGAATATGGGCTATATTCTTTCATAGAAAAGCCATGTTCCCAGGGGAGCACCCATGTCTCTCATGCTCGTGTGCAGCCACTTCTCCATTTCTGACCACTCCTCCTAGTCTGTACAGCCATCCCCGCACAGCAGCAATGAACTGAAGGAGACTCCCTGTGACCACTGAATCAAAGTCTGGGGCCAAAAGGCTCAAAGCTGAGTGTTTACAGTTCAGCCCCCAAACACATATTCAGACCTCTCCATCACCACAGCCCTTCACAAGCACTGAGCAGGGAATGTCCCATGCATCTTTTCTTCCTACCCAGACCTTTCCCTAGCGCAGGGGTTGGCAACACCTGGCATACATGCCGAGCATGGCACATGAGGAAATTTTACTTGGCACACCACAGCCAGCCCTGGCTCTGGGTAGCTGCTGGAGCCCAGGATGCTCCCAGCACCCCAAGAGGCCACAGTAGGTGCCTGCTCCACTTCTGGAGGGAGTCTGTTCCAGGTCTTGGGGACTCAGACAGTAAATAATTTTTTCTCTTATGTCCAGCCTAAAATGGTCTTGGAGGAGTTTATGAACCCTGGTCCTTGTTTTTTCCTTAGGATGCTCTGGTGAACAGACATTCTCCCAGTTCCCGATGTACACCCCTTACGTACTTATAAGCAGTCACCGTGTTCCAGGTCTTGGGGACTCAGACAGTAAATAATTTTTTCTCTTATGTCCAGCCTAAAATGGTCTTGGAGGAGTTTATGAACCCTGGTCCTTGTTTTTTCCTTAGGATGCTCTGGTGAACAGACATTCTCCCAGTTCCCGATGTACACCCCTTACGTACTTATAAGCAGTCACCGGGTGCCCCCTGAGCCTGCACTTTTCCAGGCTGAAGAGTCCCATGGCTATCAGCCTGTCTTCATAAAGCCTGTTCTCTTGCCCTCTGATCATGCACATGGATCTCCTCTGCACTCTCTCAAGCTTCTCAACATCCTTCTTGAATTGTGTAGCCCAGAATTGGATGTAGTACTCCAGCTGCAGCCTCACCAAGGCCGAGTACAGAGGGAGGATGACGTCCTAAGATTTACTTGAGAAGCATCTATGGATGCAAGCCAGAGTTTTGTTTGCTTTACCAGCTGTAACATCACATTGGTGGCTCATGTTTATCTTGTGGGCAATCATGACCCCCAAGTCTCTTTCAGCAGTGGCGCTAGCAAGTGTAGCACTGCCGAGCCTAAAAGCATGCTGCGGGGTTTTTTTTCCCCAAGGTGGAGTACCTTACATTTATTGGTATTGAACATCATCAAGTTTCTATCTGCCCACTTACTAAGTTTATCCAACTCAACCTGGATCACTAGCCTGTCCTCAGGTGTGGACGCTATGCCCCAAAGTTTAGTGTCATCAACGAACTTAGCCAGTGCACTTCTGACACCAATGTCCACATCGTTGATAAAGATTTTATCCCAGAGAGACTCTAGTCATCCTTCCTGGGTGCCAATGTCAATTTGCAGGGCTATGTAGCTGTCCTTGACATAGAGAGCTACACCCCTACCCCGTTTATCTTTACCATTTCACCTCTACAGTGTACAGCCATCTATACCTGGGGCATAGGTGGAGTCATAGGTGGAGTCATAGGTGGAGTCTTACCAGGTCTCTGTTATTTCTATGAGGTCATAGTCATTCTTGTTTAGCAGGAGAACCAGTTTCTCCTGTTTATTCCCCAATCTTCTGGCATTGGTGTACAGGCAGGTAAGTGTCCCACTGGGGGCCCCTGCTTTCCCTGCACATGGTTCCAGGGCTAGGGTAGGGGTGGGTTCCCTTAAGTGCCTTAGCCTTCTGGGTTTACAAAGGTTGCCTAGTGGGCTTGCAGTGGTGGTAATCCCCACAATCCACAGTGGGCTTAGTTTAAAGCCCAGTTGAGCAGGTCAGACAGTCTGGCTGAGAAGAGCCTCCTCCCCAGTGGAGTGAGGTGAAGGCTGTCTCTCCCCAGCAGATCACTGCCTCTCTCATCAGAGTGGACTGTGATCATAGAAGCCAAAGCCTTCCCGATGACACCAGTGCCACAGTCTTTGGTTGACT